AGAGTTGAATACGCTCTTTGAGACTTCAGTGGCAAATCGTGGAGAAGACAACGAGAAACCACTCTCCTATTTTTCTCAAGAGGGTATGTCGGTTCACAGATAACAAAGAAAAAGAATCTGTGGAGAGCCATCATCTCCCCCCCCCACGTTATAACATTGAAATCGAAAGAGTGATGAATGACTGAGGCAGATAAATATTTATAGATATATAGATATAGATAGAGAGGGAAACGGAGAGAAAGAGTAAGGAAGAGTAACAGAGAGAAAGAGAGGAAAGAGAGAACGAGGTCCTTATGCACGGAATATATTGGATAGTCTTCGTATGCCGTATGACGACGAATATATGTGTAAAATGGTGCCTATCAGCAGGGGGTGCAAAAGTAGGTATACAGTTTACAAATAGCGCACAAAATGTATTGTATCGATTATATAAACATATCAGTTACATATCAATGGTATAATATTTACTGTATATCTACTTTTGCAGCCCCCTATATGTAGGTTTATTTTTGTAGATAGACGTCATGTACATCGTGAGAGCGATAGAAAGAGATATTGAAAGATGCAGAAAGAAAGGGACCAGTATTTGTCAGTTGAGGGGATATGTAGTGACGCGTGCAAATGTGTTACACACACACACACGATTTTTTTTTAAGAAGAAATGAATTAATTTTTATTTCGATTTTATTTTATAAAAAATTATTAAAAATTATATTAAATGAGTTTATATGTTTGAGCAGACATCCATGTTTCACTTGTTGGAAAATTGAATACGGGTTCGATTTCTGCCAGGAGACGCATTTCCTTTAGTAAGTTTAGTAGGACTTCTCTATCTCAAGGCCGGCAGCCGTTACTTTCACGCTTTAAAAACAGGGATCTCTACTCACTCGTTAAAATATAACGTTTATAGCAATAAGACGTGTATATACAGGGGATATTAAAAATACTTCTTCAAACTTTGGAGTTATAAAGTTTAAAGTAACTCTACAGTAGAATCATGAACCCGCCAACACATTTTGTAAAAGTATTTTTCGATTTTATCTTGGATTGTACATTTAACAGCGTCTACCGTAAACTTTAAACTTAATAACCCAAAAAACAAACGGTTTGCGGACATATTTTATAGAGAATTTTGTCCTTGTTTTGGTGTGAGAAACCCTCTCTCAAAGTTTGTAAAAGTATTTTGATACATCCTGAAGAATGAAGTTTAAAGGCAGTAAATTCGATTTTGCTAATCGAACGATTCTTTGTGGCTCGATCGGTTAAGAGTACGCCAAACTAAATGACGGTTCCGTATAGGATACAGGTTCGAATCCTGTCGGAGATCGAATATTTTTCATGAAAATTTCTCGGGCATTCAGGCCGGTAAATGTTGTTTAATATAAACAGTGCATTTACTTAAATATTTGTATCTGTAAAACGAATGTCTAAACATAAAAATGTCTTAAAAATAATTTTCGGACGTTGTCCATTTCACAATGTGTGTGTATATATATATATATATTTCTAAAGAATCAATGGATGTATTTATAATCCATTTTTATTACTTCAAATGTAATTATCGTGAATACTCGTATCTGAAATAGCACATTTCCTTTATTAGTATTTTTCGAAGATGCAGACCCATAGACGTAATACACACAAGTCAAAATCGAACGTCTATTTCAAATACGAATATACACTATAATAACATTTGAAGTAATATATATATATATATATATATATATATATATATATATATATATATTCGAAAATTATAAAAAAAGTTATAAAATCACTACAAAATAGTTATTTTTCAACACATCTGGTATCTTATCAGGTGATGGTATTGATTTCAACACCATCACTTGATAAGTGTTGAAACAAAATGGCTATTTTTGTAGTGATTTTATAATATATTTATGTTATAATTTTCGAATAATTTATATTTGCTCTACTCCGTATTGAGCATTTTTTAAGAAAAGTATCTTTATTTATTTACCAAAATATACACCAATCCTATACTTGGATATATATATATATATATATATATATATATATATATATATATATATATATATATATATTCTCGTAATTGAAAATCAAACTACACAAAAGTAAGAATACCAGAATTTCCTGCTTTTATTTCATCATATCTCATTCTCTGATGAAGCTTTAATAGAAATGTAACAGGTTAGATTGATAAACGTTTCCTATTTGTTTGTTTATCTTATTCATCGTTATACTTTTTCTTTGGACTAAAAACTTAAGGCACTGGACGATTTATTTCGCCCAGTTCGGATGTTTCTAGTTCTTTCTTTTTTTTTCAATTTTTTTCCTCAGGTACCAATTTGTTTTGATAGACTTATAAGTTGTGCTATCCGAGGTTTTCTTCTAACCGGGTATTACTAGTAATTTAATAATCTATCTATCTATCTATCTATCTATCTATCTATCTATCTATCTATCTATCTATCTATCTATATTTGTGTGTGTGTATGTATGTGGGAATTTAGTGTAGTGGTGATCATTATTCAACCATATATTTTTAAATATAACAGACAACGTATGTCTAATATGTTTGATCACAAGTCGTTCTAAGCTTCATATAGTGACGTTAGTTTCCGGAGAAAACAACGACAAAAAGTGTCCAAGATTTGAATTTTTTGAATTTTTTATTATGTTGTTCCCCGATCTAACCTTTCGGCTCGCATGAGCCATCATCAGCGTGGTTATATGGACATCACAACAGAGATATTCATCATCAAAGATGACATCCTGTTATGTTTACTTAGAAGTTTGCTATGCGACAAGAAAGGTCGCGTAACAGCAGACGCTGGTCAAATACGAATTTTATTATCTAAGTCATTTTTTCATAATAAAATTGGCACAAAACAACCGATTTATATTGAGCAATATACCGTGTTATTTTCATCTTTTAATATCCATCTTTATTAAAAATATTAATCAGAAATTGTTTAGGAGTTGTCATGATTTATTACGCAAACAAACCAAGCACATCACAATTTTATTTATAAATACAAAAATAAAATATAGATACATATAAGGTCATATCAAATATGATTCAAATATTCCATATAATTCATTATTGTACAAGTGTTTTTAGAACCTTTTTTGTTCTTTTGCCAAGATGAGGAATAGTCAGCCTTGCAAAGCTTAAAAGCGCCTTCTCTAACATGGATACAATATTTAACTCGAATAAGCATCATTTAAATGTTTGGTCCAATGTCATAGCTAATGTTTTTGTCACTCGGGGCGGCCCTCAAGTTTGCTGCCCCTTTCCAGAAGGAATACAGTATTACAATGTGCATTAACCCCTTAAAGTTTATATATATATATATATATATATATATATATATATACTCGACTCTTCCGTTGAATTCAACGTATGAGAGTCAAGCAGATCAGTTCTCAAGAAACCGACATCCGACAACAGCATATAGTGGTGAAGGTTTCGTGCACGAAGGGCCGAATAGACAGACCTGGTGCACTAAGTGCCACAAGGTCCCCAAACGACGCCTCCGCAGGTTTTGAATTCAGAGTTGTCCTTATCCTAGACCAGTTTTCCCCCAAGCCTATAGAAACCAATCTGTCCTGCTATTTACCCATAGCTGGAGGGAGAAGAAGAGGATTCAATCCTTTCCCAAGGGTATTAGGACGTAAGTGAATGTAATGGATTCGACTGGAATTCGAACTAGGCTCTCCGATTCCTCAATCCAAGCTGCTATCCATTACTTCACCGTGCTTGCTCCTCTCTTCTCTCTCTCTCTCTCTCTCTCTCTCTATATATATATATATATATATATATAAACTGGCATCATATATATATATATATATATATATATATATTTGGTTGGATGATAGCTCTGTCTCTGATATTGAGCGCTTTCTAATAAGTACCCGCATATAATATATAAATAATTATATATATATATATATATATATATATATATATATATATATATATATATATATATATATATATATTTATATTATACACATATATATATATATATATATATATATTTATATATGATGCCAGTTTTTTTACCATATTTCTGTTAACGTGCTATATCACTCCTCACTGATAAATTAAAAAATAAAAGTACAATTGTGTCTATTTATTTTCTAAAAAGATAAAACTAGGGATGTGTAAAAAAAAAATTAATTAATCGAAGACGTTACTTCTTTTTGTAAATCGGGAAAACTTAAAAAACTTTTTAGATTATTAATTGAAAGGTAACTTGTTTTTGTTTATAGACCTGTTTTATTTAAAATGAAAAACACAAAAACAAATTGTACTTTTAATTCATAATTTATCAGGTTTTTCAACTATTTATTTCAATTCTAACAAGTGAGGAATCATAAATTAAATCCCACGTTAACAGAAACATGGTCCGTTTTTCTTTTAACAGTGTAAAAAATGCAATATATTTTAAAATTATTTTGTTTTTACGTCGTTCAAGTTATTAGTAGCAAAATAGTAGACTAAGAATTAAAAGTCTAATAAAATTAAATTCACTTTTAAAAACTGAAATAAATGTTATCATACTTTTAATTCTTAGTCTATTTTGCTTAATAATACTTCAACTATTTAAACAAAAAAATAAAACATTGCATTGTTTTACTACCGTAAAAACTTGTAAATTGAAAAATTGAAAAATATATCCATTATTGGGCTTTATATAAAGTTTCTGCACTTAAAAAATATATTAATATTCAACTTTCTTTTAAATTTCTGTTCGATATTTCCGGAAAAAAAATGGAATGCATGTGATATCCTTAAAGCATTGGAATTATTTCAGTTTATTTATCTATTTTCTAATTTATGAAAAGTAACGATTTTATATCCGTATTAAAGCTAGGCCTATGATAAGATAAAAAACAAAAAAAGAATTTGTTCACTGATGTATTTAATTTTTTTGAAAAATCAAAATCAAAGAATTGACGCCAATGTCTGGACTTTTGACATAGGTGTGAAAAAAACTGTGGATTCACTAAATTCACAACCCCACATTAAGCCATTTAAAAATGTTTAAATTTTTTTAACTGGTTGTTCTCGAACATATTGTCTTCGCATTTATTTTAACGCTATTTTGACTCACAATCTCTTTTGTTTACAATACTAACCCCAAATAAAATATTACTTCACCTCTATGTTTTCTAAAATGTGTTGGTTTATTATTTTCGTTATTTGCAATGTCATTGGTCCTGACCTGGCATCTCGGTTCCAGCCATTTTCCCACCGCCGTAACGTTCCTCCTGTGCCTTTTCTATAAATACTTTTATGGCAATTGTTATGATGAACTTTCCTCTATGCAACCGAAACTTTATGAATTTAAGCGCATTACTTCATTGGCGGTTAGGTATCATTATTTTACATTTGAAATGACTAAATGAAAGTTTCTTTCTCACAGTTCTCGCTTGTGGAAGTTTCTTCCGGCTTCTTCGTTTCCAGTCAGCTTTGATCTTCATAAATTTAAATGCAATGTTAATCGTTATCTTCTGTTTTCTTAAATCCTGTTCCTTTATAACCCTTTCTCCTTGATATTAGTTTTACTCATGTTCTCTAACACTCAGCAACCTCTTGCGTCCTAGTGGCTTTATTGCCTTGCTTGGGGGAAATGATTAAAAACATCCCAGACTGTAGGTCTGTGTTATTTAGCTCTACATCTATCATTAGAAAATACTATTAAGCATTCAGTATTTTCATGTACTTCTTCGACTAAGTCACGTGTTTCTGTTTGTGATGTTTACTAAAAGGTGGTAGCTTCGTTGCTTTTATGTCTAGAGTTAATGCACTTAATATTTTGCATCTTTTCTTTTCTCTGTTTACCTTTTTTTAAAAAATCGGTGTAACATGGACAAACGTGCCTGCTATATGACGCAATATCAAAGGGACGGGTTTTCCCATGACACCGTTTTATTTCTGTTTTATGATGTTCACTCTACGGCTTTGTTTATTATTTTCAAAGACCAATTATTAGAATTGAAATAAAACCGAAACATATGATGAATATGAATTTTTTGTTCTTGAGAATTTACAACAAAAATATGAAACACTATTTATTAGATTGTTTATTTACAAGAATAATTTTATATTTACAACATTCTAAAAAAGTAATACAATTAGAACTAATGCGATGCAACATTTATCAATTCATCAATTTATAAAGAAATAAATCCAAAAAAAACAATTTCTTATTCATAAATTTACTAAATTATTAAAATAAATAATATAATAAATAAATAGTTTAAATAAAAAAATTAAAAAATAACTAGTGTTAATTATTCTTGTCAATTCTCAAGAAAAAAAGTATAAATTCATTTTCATATGTTTAGGTTTTATTCCATTACTATCATCATTTTTAAAAATAATAAACATTGCTGATGAAGGGAGGTAGTTAAGAAAACGGTGTCATGGGGAAAAACACATCTTTTTGACAGACTGTTTTTTTTGTGGGCACGAAGGTCCATGTTTGCCAAAATATTTTCTTACTGGTTAATTCATATTTCTTAATTTTTTGTTATCATTTCAATTTTCCACAGACGTGACTTTATAACATGCTTAAAGCCATTTATTTTTTAATGGTTATCTAGCTAAAGCTTTCAGTTTCTGTTTTGATGGTTCACTTTCTAACTTTGTGTCCCTTTCATTGAATAACTTCGTCAATAACTGTCTTTGTTTTCGTTTTTTTTGTCACATTTTTAAAGCCTGTCTTTGTTTTCTTGTTCTCTTGCCATTGTTGACAAATTCATTTGTACATGTTTCAGGATCTCTGTTAAACCTTTTTTACAATTTCCAATTTCCTGTTCGTATTACTCTTTGATTTTGCAATATCCTTTTGCTCTTTTGAAATTATAACTTTCTTAAGTCACTTGTGAACATCTATACATGTGTAATTTAAGAATAAATATTAAGAATTATAGCTGTGTATACGTAAGCGCGTGTCTGTTTGTGTGTGTATGTGCGTGCATCACTCAAAAAATCTTCTAGTCCAAGAACTTCATATTTACATTATTTACATCAATGATTCCCAACGTATTGCGCATGCTCCACCCGTGGGGTATGGTAATATCTTGGTGGGGCATGCGTAGGATGTGCACCCTTCGGATTACTATATACCAACAGAATAAGGGGGTAATTCAAGAATAAGTTAACAGTGAGTTGTTTTCCAATGAGCTTAAATTTCATTTTGCATTATTATTTCATGATTAAAATTATGAAAGTATATTACAGAATAAACTTTCATTCAAATATTTTATATTTCTGCCTTTCAGTTCTCTATTATATGTTTTGAAACTATATTTATATTTAACTGTCTTTTTGTTTTTTTTTTTGTTTTTTTGTTTTTTAATTTTTCTCTTTCCTGTAAGCCATGATCTTTGGAGGCTTGTTTATAGTGCCTTTTAAGCTTCCTTCACGTGAATTGCAGTAAAATTGTTAACATGTAAGAATTTTAGAAATAACACAGTCGGGCATGGCCCCAAAATCGGGCT